TTATACTTGGGTAATGTATGGTTATATTCATTCACTTGTCAAACATAACAGACTATTTTCTTTATCTCTTGAATTTGTATTCAATGGAACGGTAATGAATCTCTAAATCTTCTAAATGTGAACAATAAAAGAGTGAATGACTTTCCTTGGCAGTCTATGTGCTATGGCTGAATTGTTTAAACTTTTATTTAAAACCTGGGGGAAGAAAAAAAAAATCCCAAGAATAAAGATGTTACTTTTAAGTAATTTCTTTAGAAAATATTTCTTTTAATTTTTGCAGTCTAAAAATTAGCATTGATAATGTGAAGTCCCTACTACATTATAAACTAGACCTCACTTCAATATTCAGTTTCTCTAGAAAATGACAGATGCCAGCAGGGTTTATTAGGGGTAGCTACACAGCAAATGCCCATTTACTGTAGCCATGTAAATAGTGTATTATTTAACAGTATTCACATGAGGATGTTTCAAATTGAATATATGGCAAAGAAGTCAATGTACAAGCTTTTCTTCTAAATATTTCAGGGAGTCTCATAAACCAGTGTTCTGGAGAAGATCTATTTGCTGGATATAGTTTTCTTTTAATAATTTTATATTGAAGTAACATTGTATTGCAACATTTCATAGTAAATTTCAACTTTTACCAATGACATTAATGTGCTATACACATATTGATGTTCACGGATGAGCATCTGAAGTTTATGTAATATAACACAGTGTCACTTCAATTTAAAAAAAAAAATTCAGGTGTGCATCATTATAAGTCAACATCTATATTTATTACATTAAGTTCACTAACTTAAGTTATACTAAGTCCAGTTCTATCCATCTAATTTCAGCTACCCTGTTATCTAGTTTTACCTAGTTTATCTAGCCTCTTTCCCCTTTTATTCTTATAACAACTTGTTTGGCCTTATAAAAGTGTACTTTTGTTTTATTATTTCTTTCATTTGTTTTGCTACTCGTATATGCTGTCCAAAACTTACTGCACACACACACATACACACGCACGCACCTGAGTTAAATACAGCTGAATATTTCCTTTTTTTCTGGAATCCTATTCTTTAATATGCATTGCAAATATCCAAGAAAGGAATATATTGCAGAATTTTATTGAACTTATTTTACCATATATGTTTGGCAGCATACTTATTAACATCTTCTAAGATATTATTCAGATAAATACAACTTTAAGAAATGTGTTGGCAATGTATATTTAGCAAGATACACTACTTCCCAATGTAGATTTAGCAAGGATACACTTTCTAGTCTGTATTAGCACCCACTGTATAACTATATTGTGTAGGATGCTGAAGGGCATAAGAAATTGGATGTAATTATTTAGAAATTCAAAGTCCAGGAGCATAATTGCTCAATAATCAATGCAGTTGGAACAAAGTAATAAAGTAAAATAGGGGTGCAACGAGGGGAAACTTGCATCTACTTCGGTGTAGAATTCCAATTACCGTCATCAAGTGTCAAAAGCATGAATGTTGGCACTACATCTACAGTAGGGAGCTTATTAGAATTGGTCAAATAAGCATGTTTACATGTGTTGGATATCATTCTGGAGGATGATGCTTTGGAATGGTACCTGCCTTCATTTGCCTCATCTCATTTACCTAAAGTCAGAACAGCCTCAGCTCATTGACTTACTTCAGTTCGGTAACTTTATAGTTATTTCTGTCATGGAATGTTGACTTTGCTTACTTAGTTTAAAAATAAAGAAGAAAATTGATTAAATTTTTAGAACACAATCTAGTTTTAAGTAACTTACTGTGAAAAGACAACAGTAGGCCAAAAGGATAGTTTTAAATTGATTGAATCTGAAGCTTTATGTTAGAAGGTCAATCAGTGAAGTTTTTTCCTCATATTTTTCATACTAACTTAAAATTGATAGGGGGTCTTTTTTTGTAATTTAGCTGGTTGATACTTAAGAGGCTCATAATGTCATATGATGAAATGCAAGTAAATGCCCCCACCCATCCCAGTGGAATTTCATTGTCTCCAGTCACCTCCTGGCCATAGTAAAGCATTAGTTCCCATGGGCATTATCCTATGGCTGGAAGGGAATCAGGGGTTTCTCCACAAAGGTGTGATGTGCAATACATCCAAACAGAAACTCGATGACAGACTTCTTTTTAAAGGTGCTTACATAATATTACTAACTCTCTCCATAAGAAGTGATTCTAATAGTCAGATAATAGAGTTCATTAGTTCGGTATGCAGTTATCGCTTCAGATATTCCTGTGTAACAAGTAGGACTTTAACTAGGATTTTTTAGTCTGCACCAAAATAATTTGATGAGAACTGTTAAGTATTAGCATTTTGTGCGGCTATTTTTGCAAACTCAGGAATTTAAGAAATAATCCAAAGTAATTGACCTTTTTTGTATGGTGTGGAGATCCAATTTCATATTCATCTTTATGGGTAACTAGTTGTTCCATTCTCCTTTACTTACTTATTCTCCTTTACTTAGCAATGCCAGCTCTATCATTATGCAGGTATCCACATACATGTGTGTCAATTTGGAGGCTCCTAATTGTCCTCCATTGGCTTATTTTTGCATCTCTCCATGTACCAGTACTCTAACTGCTATAGCTTTTTCAAAGCTTCTATTGGTGTCTGCCTCCTACAGAGTTTCCTATTATCCTTTGGAAATTTTGTGTGTGTTTTAACATGTTAAATGGTTTGAGTTTTAGTGCCATCCCCTAAGTACATACTTATTTGCTACTGAAAATTGAAATTGTACATCAAAAATTTGGAACAAGTCAAATTTTGAAAATCAGAAAATTTAGTTAAGCACTTTGTCTTAATTATGCTCTAGCCAAACCATCCAGTTGTGTTTTTTTCATTTTTACAATCCCCCTAAACAAATTACTTTGCTGCAAATTCGTGTTGGTCTTCGTCTTACAAACTTCAAGATTATAAAGTACACAGGCAAAATTTATTAGTACTTTTTTGAGCCAAATAGAGAGGATGTAAAGTATATTGAAGCCACATAGGTAGGTTCTTTGTAAGTTACTAGAATCAAGATAGAAAAGAGGGCCTCCCCGGTGGCGCAGCGGTTGAGCGCTGGGTTGTGAAGCTGCCCGCAGCCTCTGCAGCACAGGTTCGATCCCCGGCTGCTCCCCGCCCACCGGACAAGGGTCCCACATGGCAGCCAGATGTTTGGGCCTCCCCGGTGGTGCAGCGGGTTGAGCACCGCGTTGTGAAGCTGTCCACAGCCTCTGCAGCACAGGTTCGATTCCCCGATGGCCAGGGAGAAACCCACATGGCATAGCAAACGTCTCCTGCCTCACCCACTGCTCCCCTCAGTGTCTTCAGTTCTGCTCCCTGCTCTGTCTCTGGTGAATTCTCTTACCCTCCTGCACCTCTGGTCTGTACCCCAGTTCTTGTATAAATAAATAAATCTTTAAAAAAAATTAAGAAAAAGAAAAGAGATGCTAGAAAAAAGACATCACAGAACTTAGAGTTGATGAAAATACTGCATATAGTACATCATAGCACAGAGTAGCTTAACCAGTCTGGTGCATAAAGGTCCTAAAGTTACCATCAAGAAAGAACAGCACAAGGTGTATGGCTAAATCAATTCCATGTCAAATTACTCTGTAATAATGATAGCTACATTGAAATTTTTTAAATTATTTTTTTAACCTTCATTTCCTTCTGTCATATTCTTTTTAAGGCAGAAAAAAATCCATTAACGTATTGGTGTCTAATTTTTACCATCCTTTCCCTCAATTATCCTTTGGAATGTTTAACTTAAATAAATGTATGGGTATCTCTATTACTTCCTATTACTTCCTAAATCTTCACCACTCATCTTCACCACTCACCACTACACATATTTTTAAGATTTAGATGGCTCAGTTGTATACATACACTGTTTAGTAATATAATTAAGCATCTTCTTGTCTCATCCTGCAAAGTTTATCATATTTTTAGTTCATGAGGCCAAAGAATGTGCCCTCATCTCCTTCTGACCACATCAGAATTTGATAACTTCACACTCCAGTCACTGGGCACATTTTATTCCCTTAATAAACCTGGTACACTTCACAATTTCTTTTCACATAGGTAGAAAAGATACTACCATGGAAATTTAATAATTCCTCTCATGATCAAACCTCTAATCCAAGTAAATGTCTTTGCAAACTGAGACACTCCTTACAAAAAATCCAAATCAAAAGGATGTCTGTGCAAGCCAGTTTCTCTCTCTCTCTCTCTCTCTCTCTCTCTCTCTCTCTCTCTGCCTCTCTGTCTCTCCCCCCCCCCACTCTCTGCTCTCTTCCTTTCTCCCCTCTCCCTTTTCTCCCCTCTCTCTGGTCTTTCTATCTCTATATCTCTACTTTAGAAAGGATTCCTGATTTCGCATATCTTGTTCAACATTTTCTTTTTTAAAAGAGATGCTGGCTTTATTTATTTATTTATTTATTTATTTTAAGATTTATTTATTTATTTATACAAGCACTGGGTACAGTCAGAAGCGCGGGAGGGTGAGAGAATTCACTAGTGCCAGAGTGGGGTGCAGAACAGGTAGACTGACGTAGTACACTGCTGAGGGGAGCAGTGGGTGGCAGGAGAGATCTGCACGCCAAGTGGGACCCTCACCAGTGGCCGGGGATCGAACCGGCGCTCAGAGGCTGTGGGCAGCTTCACAACCCAGCACTCAACCGCTGCGCCACTGGGGAGGCCCTCAACATTTTCTTTTTTCATGAACTTAAGAATTTCTATTTTGTTGTTTATTTCTCTTATTTCTTATGTTTGCTACTTATTGCCTATCTCTCCCAGTCAAATGTAAATTCAACAAGGACTGTATCTAATCTGTATTGTATATAATGTATCTCAACTGGTTCCTGAGCAAATCTGCTCAATAAATACCTATTGAATTAGTGAATGGCATATAACATTTGCATAGGAAACTGACAAAAACAGATACTCCATGATGTACTTTTCTCAAATCGTTAAATCAGTATTTTGTTATTTTATGCTTTCAGACATCAACATGGCAGGAGAACCCAAACCATACAGACCAAAACCTGGAAACAAGAGGCCCCTTTCCGCACTTTATAGGTAAGTGAACAAGCACTGCTTTACTATATGTAGTGGTGAAAATTTATTATAACTTTATAAAAGAAAATATAACCTATGAAGCATCAAGTCAGTTAAAGAACATCTTTACTGGTATATACAAAGTACAACAAAATACTAGTAGACAGCATATAAAAATATCACACAAAATTGTTAGGGATCTTGGATGCTTAACCTTCTTATCTGTCCTCAAACCCTTCCACAAGATATTCCTCTAAGAAAACTCAAAAACATCTCTCACAACTACCTGAAAGAATAGAGTTCAGTATTTTTGACTCTTACTGTCATGCACTCTAGGTGTTTTGTATATGTTGCTTGATCTAATTTAATTTTCACAATTCTGCAGTGTAGATGTTGCCATTATCATCTTACAGATCACAAAATTGATATGCAACTTTTTCTTAGCGATTTTCCTAGGTTGCACCACTGGTAAATGATGCCATCAGGATTCAAATTCATGTTTTTGATGTCACACTTTGAATTCTCCCATTTTATTAAATATTTTTTTATTATAAGGTACATGCTCCTTCCACCCCCATTTCTCTAAAAGAACAAATACAGTCCTTCTCTTCTCCAGGGAGACATATCTGATTCCTTTCATCTTTCCCAATATACTTAGATTAGAGTCAATTTAATATTCTGGTTTTTTCTCTCTACCTACCCCAATTTATCAGTGTCCATACCTATAATCTCAATGCCAACTAAATAGAGTAAATTCTATTTAGCATCTTTATGATTCAGTATATACTTCAATTAGGTTAAAAATAAATGCATTGCTGTGGAGAGAATATAAGAATAAACTCAAGGAACTTTTGGTTCTTTAAAAATAGACACTTAGGGGGAAAAATCATATCCTGTTCTTAAACCATATATCTCACTACATATAGTTTTGCCACTGGTTTTCATACTATAGTGCTGACTTTGCATCTATCTGTGTTAAATTCTTTTTTGTTAGACTTAGCCAATTGTTCCAGGCTATTGAGATCTCCTATCATCCAATTTATTTTGTTCTCTCCCAGATACTTATCACTCCATCAGTGTCCACATCCAAAAAGTTAATGTAAGTGTTGAGCAAGACACGCTTTTTCTTTGAAATCATTTGGGTAAAGGAGAATTAAATTATACATATTAAACTTTATTATGTTCTATTCAATATTTATATATAAGTGTATATGTGTGAGTACTCAAAAGATAGCTTGAACTGTTTCCTGATCTTTGTTCTAAGAAAGCAGTCATATCTCCTTTCAGTCACTCATAGCCTCATTTTCCAAACTTTCAAAGATGAGAGGTGGCACTAAATGAGTGCCCAGGTTCTGCTCATACCTAAAACCTCTACTGTGTGACATTCAGATATCTTAAAAGATATATCTGGAAATATATCTTAATTGTCCTTAATATCCTGTCTTTGTGAACTTATTTAACTTTAATTTTTTTTAATTTTATGTAAAAATGGAAACCTATTGGACTTAACAAGTACAAATGATCAGTAATAAGGCAGTATTGATGGTAAAGGTCAGAGATGAAGTCACCAAGAAAAGGCAAATGATACCGCCTGTCCCTGTTTGAGTTGAACGTATTGTTTGTAAAACTGAGAAATGCAAATTAGTTTTGATTTGATCCATTTTTTTAAGTGTTTGTGTAGAGATGCAGCTAATACAGAACATCCAAAAGTCATTTTCAATTATTAACAAAACAAGCTGGCAGTGGATTATTTTTCTCATCAAAGAGTTACCACTGTCTATGCAATGATGTTAATTTTCATATTTTCCCTGTTCTTGGAATGTTTTGATTTTCTTATGAGAATAGAAGCTTATGACAAGAAGCAAATGCTTTTTCTGTTATTTCTCTATTACTGTTCTCTTGAATTGATTCAAAAGAATTAGAAGCAGAAGTTCATTTAAATCTGATATATTGCATACAAATCACATTAGTCAGAAAGTGTGTATTTATCATATTTTCATCTGTTTGCACAAGCAAAGGCTGGAACTGAGTGAAATTACAAAAATGAGAACAAAAGGCACAAAAGGGAGGAACACGCAGCTGAGAAAGCCTTTTATACAGACTTTCTCATTTTTATCTAAGCTTAACAATAATAATACCCTTACTTTTATGTAGACAGACTGTATTTTCCTGGTCATTATTCATCTGCTCACCACACAACTCCACAAAGGTTGGTTTTCTATGTCTTGCTTTATAGATGAGAAAACTAACTTTCTATGACAATAAAGAATTTGCCTGAAGCAAGATAACAAAATTAGGAACTGAATTCTGCTTTTCAGCCTTCAGGTCTAGTGATGTTGCCACTAGATCTCAGCTCTCCTTATTTACCCTCCTGCTACCGTCTAAGCAATACAGATCAGAAAAAGGAGAGATCCCTGCCCACCAAAACCAATCATGTCCATGAACACCATGCCAGCAGGTGGTAAAAGAAAGACCATATACTACATAAGAACCTGTTTGTGTTACCATAGTGTTCAAGTTCATAGATTTGAAGTTCAAGTTCTTTATTGGTTGGGTAATTTTCCTAGTAGTGTTGCAGAAATAAATTCTACTTTTTATCCAGGCAGAGGAAGAACAAGCGGTACTTTAGGAATGGCGAGGTCAGGAAAAGCTTTATTACTCATGCATGAGGTCCCAGAACAGGGTAGCCCCGTAAGGTCTGAGCACCTGTTTAAAGACCAAGAGTTCCTTTTATACACAACTGTGTCCATATCTGTTACATTGATAACATCGTTTTTCAGCAGGCACAACCATTTGTGGCAAAGTCCCCAGACAAGGGGGCAAGGCAAGGAGGGAAAGATGCAGGCATTTGGGGATGGCCTTGGAGAGACAGAACAGTTTGGCCAGCTGCCCGACCTTGTAGATAAGAATGCTGAGGCCCTGACCATAAATCTGGAAAGGGAGGGCCTCCCCGGTGGTGCAGCAGGTTGAGCGCCACACTGTGAAGCTGTCCGCAGCCTCTGCAGTGCGGGCTCGATCCCAGCCGGCTGGGTGAGAATCCCACATGGCGCGGCAGACCTCTCCTGTCTTGTCCACTGCTCCCCTCAGCAGTATATTTCGGTCAGTCTGCCTGTTCTGTTCCCCACTCTGTCTCTAGTGAATCCTCTCACCCTCCCGCATCTCTGGCCTGTACCCCAGCTCTGTATAAAAAATAAATAAATAATTTTTTTTATAAAAGTAAGGGAAGGAGCTGTAAGTAAGCAAATTTGTTGATTATGCCTTGCCTGCGTTGGAGTGTTCATTGAACCTGGGCTGCAAGTTCTGCTGGAATCTTTATTATATTCATTTGCTCAATAATATATTTTCGCTTTAGTAGGATGAAATTGTATTACCTCAATGTAGGAATATGCTAGCAACTTGAACAGAGGTGATTTCTACTTTTCTGTTATTTGCATCTTTGAATCTACTTCCTTATCTGTAAAATGAAAAACTGAAATAATTTTGTTCATTCATTCACACAAGGCATATTTTGTTATGTGTCTACATGTTCGAGGTATTATGGAAGCTGCTCTTCCAGGCAAATGACAGAAAATGTCAAGATTGCGGGGCTAACAGAGAATAATGAAATAAAAGTAAATTATTTTATGGTACAGGTAATCTTTGATTTAACTTCATGCTCTGAAAACTACTGTGTGTCTATATCTATTTATTCTGATATAAGTGATCTGCTGTCAGACTATCTTCTTTGACTATGTCCACCGTATTGACATCATCAACCAGAGTAGTATTTACATGGAATATCTACTGAGACATAATTATATTTTATTACTTCCTTTAATAGGGTTTTCAATTTAGCCAATCTTCACTAAACATCTGTCATGTTCTAACTAAACATGATATACATAGAAGACACAACTTTTGAAAAAAAAAGTGAATCTTCAAATATTTACTATTTTACAGATGAGCTAGATGTAGATGTACATATAAATATGATACATCGATAATGTATAATACAGTTCTATAAGAAGATAAATGAGAGTTACTGATTCTTCCTAGGGGAAGGGAGAGTGGAAAGTCTGGATGATACTTTAGCCAACTTCTGAACAAGCAGGAATTCACAAGCAGACGAAAGTAAGAGGAACTTTCCAGGCAAAGAAAACATGTGCAGAGATAAAAATCAGAGACACGGAGATAAAGAACATCTTAGGGTGAAAGCCAGGATAGTCTACTTAGTGGAGAACAGGTCACTGGGACGTTTATGGTGGTCCAGACTCCCCACATTGTACTCAGAATTAGGAAATTTTGCTTTTATTTTACAGGGAACATGGAGCCATTTGAATATGGTGTATTACAAATGGGGTAAAAGGAAACAGTGAATCACAGACATGGGCAAAATTTCTAGGGTAAGCAACTGGGGATGTAATCATACGATTCTGGTGGAAGAAATAGGAAAGACATGATAAGAATTAGCAGACTCAGGTACAGAGTTGGGGGAAGGAAGCAAAAAGAAATTATTTCAACCTTGAACATGAATTCATAAAGACAGGCAATTCATTAAAATAGTTCTTAAAGTAAAAATCCCTCCCATTAGAAACTATTTGTAAATGAAACATAATTAATCATTTGTGAACATTCCATAAATATTGGATGTGGACATAATGGCAAATAGAAAATTCATCCTTTAAGGAGAAAAATTGTTACTTGTAATAATGTACCATGTGTCTCTGGTACTCTAAAATAGTGATCCCCCCCCCACAGGAAGTACATTTCCCAGTATGTCAAGTTCATATTAATGCTTAGTAATTGTTAAATGAGAATAATTGTTTACTTCTGCTTATGAAGCAGACAGACCTTTCCTCTGATGAGAGTAAAGCCAACAACCAGAGAATAAAAATACCATTTATCAGAGCTGGACAACTCCAGGTTTCCATTCTCTAGAGGCAACCCTCCCAGTCACAGTGAGCACAGCTCAGTAAGACATGTCAAACCTGCAGGTTTATCCCACTCATTTCATAGCTGTTGCTAGGTGTCATTCCCGATAA